TCATCGGGGGCTGGAGGTGTGAAGGGGTGAGGGGGCTAAGGGGAGTGATGTTGGCACGTCACCTGGGGTGCTGGCATGTCACCCTGAGAGGGGGGGAGTGCAGCCATGTCGCCCACAGGGATGCCCCCACTCGCCCCCACTGTTGCCAGCCGGCACGTTGAGGTGCACACGTGTGAGACCCACCGTGCTTCGCCCACCCAGCCGCTCAGGCGAGAAATTGTCCCCATGTCACTGCTCTGCCAGGGAGCCCCTGGGTCCACTGTCGCAGGGCGATGCTCTCGGGGCTGGCACAGGACGTAACGCCCTGGTGCGGGATGAAGAGGCAGAAGGCAGGGGTCTGCAGCAGGGACGTGGCCTGGGGTGCCAAGCAGCCCAGTGTAGCAGAAGGTTTTTGGGGACTCTGCCCTGCCGGCACTCCCAGGCTGCCCGTGGGCCTTCCTCCAGCGTGGGAGGCACCCACCTCATGCCCGAGTGCCCCTGTGAATCACTCCTGGAGACGGATTTGCAACGACAACACCCAAAAACGTCTCATTGAACCCAGAGATTGGGGTGGAAGGGGGTGCGATGACCCCGTGGGCGACCTGGGTGCATGCAGGGTGCTGGTGGCGGGGGTCACAAGGCTCTCACTGTGCTGCTGCTTCTAGGAAAAACACAGGGAAATGCAAGTTTTTTTAAGAGGCTTGCCATTGTGATAGAGTCTTGTGGCGCGTATTGCAGCCGCCTTTGGTCCCCTGGGAGGAGCTGGGACAGGGCAGGGATCCACATGGGTCCCCAGATGTGCCCATGGCTGTTCCTCGTCCTTTTAAACCCCGAAAGCTACAGAGGCACCTACAGCTCCACTCAGGGCTGGTTCCCATCCCTGCTGTTCCCCATCCCGAAGCTGCAGCAGCAGCATCTGCCTGGTGCTGAAGTGGCTCTGCTGGGATGTTGTGGGCTTTTCCTGCCGACCCCCCCCCAAAATGGTCCTTGAGAGGGCACGGGGCAGGCTGGGCTGGGCCCAGTCCGTTCACCAGGGGATGCTCTTTGCTGAAGCAGCACAAACCTCTGCAGGCTGCCAAGGAGCAAACCCAATGCCCTTCAGTTTAAATGCAATTTGTATTTTTTTTCACTTTAGTGTAGGTTGGACGGGGCCTGCAGCATCTGTGCACCATGAGCAGCCTCTGCAGCCCTCAGGGCAGCCCTTGCACGGGGAAGCCTTTGCCCTTTGTGCAGGTGCAGCTTTTCTTCCCCTTTTTCTGGCGAGCAGCCGAGCGCTGCCACGCGTCGCAGGACCCACGCTGTCCCCAGAATCCTGCCTGCGCCACAGCCCAGAGCCAGGCGAGGAAGACCTGGGTTTGGGGAAAAAGAGAGGAAGAGCCCTCATTTTTTTTCGCCTTGCAGCTGTGGATTGGACACAAAGTGGGGCTGGACCAACCGTGAGCATCCAGTGATGCCAGGGTGGGTTTTTTTTTTGTCATGTTGGTGTCTGGGACATTTTTCTGAGATCAAAGGTTCTGGTGTGCAGCTGAGTCCCAGATGCTGAAGGCTTGGTGGCCCCGCTGCTCCCGTGGTGACGGCGCTGTTGTCAAGGGAGAAAGCAAAAGGTCACTGCTCCATGGCCAAAATTGGAAAGCAAAGGCTGGGGAAAGTTTCTGTGTGTGTGTGGACAGCAGCAAAGCAACGGCATGAGAGGGATTTGGGGGGAAAAAAAAATCCTATGGGTGAGTCAGGTTTAAAGGAGGGAGCCCCAAAACCCACCCAGAGGGCTTAAACAGCCCCATCCTGCAAAGGGCAGGGATGCAGGCGCAGAGCCCCAGTAAGAAGCACAGATGGGTTTCCCAGACCATTAACTGAGGCCTGTGACTGCTCGGCCTCCCTGATCAATGCGGTTTCTATTTCTAGGCTGTGAAATAACACAGGACGTTATTTAAACGTAATAAAAGAGAGAGGGAGGGGGAGCCACCCAGGCATCACCCCAGCTCCGCACCCACCTGCTGGCTTTGCAGCCGCAGCACTTAACCATTTGCAACCCTGCAATTAACGATACTTTATCGTGCTTTTATCTTTGTGCCACCCGGAGAGGCTGAGGAGCAGAGGATCAGACACAGGTCCTGCTGGTGCCCGGACGGACGCCACCAGCTCCCAGCTGCTGCCCTGGCGGTGGCTGCTGTCAATATTTGTGCAAGTCAGACTCGGCGGGGGGTTGGAGAGCTTGGTAGAGAACAGCTGGAAAAACAGAAAAATAAAATCACCTTTGTGGTAGGATTAAGGAGGTGAGAAGGTGCTGAGCCTCACACGGTAACCACAGCACCCCTGGGCCTCAAAGCAAGGCTGATGGGCGCATCCCGTTCCCACCCCAGCTGCGCTGCCCGGGGGCTGCTGCGTCCCTGGGAGGTGCAGTCCTGCCCCAATGGCTCGGGGCCTCCCGGTGCCCCTGCCCCCACCAAGGAGCAGCTATTTCAAAGCCTGGCTTTCCTTTCTTGGGTGCCAATGCATCTCCATGCTCAGTCTTTCCCTTGCCCTGGCAAGGCACAGGTGGCTGCTCTCAGCTTTGGGCCGTGGGTTGTTGTTTTTTTGTTTGTTTTTTTTTTTGTGTGTGTATTTCTGTCACCTGGCATGGCTGCAGAGAAAAGAACATGAACCCCCTCCCCCCCCAAGGTCTTGCCAAATTGGGTGGGCTTCCATGGTGTCCCCAGGGAACAAGCTCTGCGGCACATTTTGGTGCCCACCAGTCTCTCTGTGTCCCTGGGCAGGACATGAGCTCTGCAGGTGGGGGATCTAGGGGCTGCCCTGTGCCCAGGAGCCTCACCCCCTGCCATCACCTCTCTTTTCTGTCACTTTTCCCCCACAGTCACCTCTGAGCAGATCGAGCACCTGCACCGGCGATTCAAGCAGCTGAGCCGGGACCAGCTGACGATCCGGTACGGCGCAGCCACGTCCGGTGCCGGGGCGATTCCTGTCCCACGGGGGCTGGCCACAGCATCACCCACAGCGCTGGCCCTCCCCAGGATGCTGTGACGCCCGGCTCCCCAGGCTGCGGGGACGAGCGTGTCCTTCCCAGTCACCCCATGGCCGTGCTGAGTGGGCTCTGCAGTGGAGCATCACAAACAACATCAGCAAAAATGAGCGGTGAAGCAGCGGCCTGAGGGTGAGGTCTGGCACATCCGACTGCTCCAGCAGCCATGCAAGGAGCCGGCATGGACCAGGGAGCCCAGCTGCCCCCTGCTTCCCTCCCCCTCTGGACATTATTTCTTGGCTCATTTGCTTTATAAAAAGTCAATAGCAAACAGCCAACACAGGCACAACCTGGTGTCTGCACAGCACAGTGCAAGGTGCAGCCTCACTGGCAAGGGCAAGGGATGCCAAGAGGGTGAGGGGGGACAAAGGCTCCTTCCCTCACCTTGTCAAGCCCCATTCGGGACTTTATTCCTGGGAAAACTCAAAAAAGCTGTGGCCATTTGCAGGTCAAGCTGTGCAAAGGGCGCAGCATCGGCCCCAAGTGCTGTGTCCTGGAGATTCCCAAAGGCACAATTTCATGGGGTCAGAAATTCCCCACCCCATAGCTGCACCAAGCACAGCCCCATGCGGCAGCACAGCTCACTTTCAGTCTGAATTGAGGGAAATTGCAGTTTTCATGCAAAACATACTTTTTTTTCATGATTCCTTTGAAAGAAAGGGGTCAGGGCTTCTGCGTCAGCTCTTCGGTGGTGGTCACAGCATCTCCCTCCTCCCTGACGCTTCAGGCTGTCTCTGGTTCCTTTGCAGGAAGGAGAATTTCGACAGCATCCCCGACCTGGAGTTTAACCCGATTCGGGGGAAAATTGTCCATGCCTTCTTTGACAAGCGGTAAGAACATCCCCAGCACCGCAGGGAGGGTCAGCATAAGTGGTTTATCCTCCAGAAGGAGGATGTCGCTGGGCAAAGATCTTCTCCCTAAAGGCTGGGATGGAGCCAGGGTGAAAAACACAGACATTTAAGCTAAGTCTTAGGGAAAAACCTGTCCTAAAGCGCAAAAACTCCAGTCCTGAGGGATGTGCTGGCTCTGCGGCGGGTGTCTAAGGGGGTCCTGGCTGCCCATCACCATCAGCTCTGCTCTGGGCAGGAACCTGCGGCAGGAGTCGGATGGGCTGGCAGATGAGATAAACTTTGAAGACTTCCTGACCATCATGTCCTACTTCCGACCCATCGAGATGAACATGGATGAGGAGCAGCTCGATCGCTTCCGGAAAGAGAAACTCAAATGTGAGCCTTGCCCAAAGCCCAGGGTTGGGGGAAGCAGGCGGGAGGGGGCTCCCCTGACCCTGCCGTGCTCCTCTTGTCCCTCCCAGTCCTCTTCCACATGTACGACTCAGACCACGACGGGAAGATCACGCTGCAGGAGTACCGAAATGTAACGTATCGCTCCTCCTGCCCCATCACCACTCAATTCCCAGCACCGGCTTTGACCCCGCTGCCTCGCAGGTGGTGGAGGAGCTGCTGTCAGGGAACCCCCACCTGGAGAAGGACTCGGCGCGGTCCATCGCCGATGGGGCCATGATGGAGGCAGCCAGCATCTGTGTGGGACAAATGGTGGGAGCCGGTTCCTTGCTCATATCGCAGCACCAAGGTGCTGTGATGGTATTGAAAATGGGGCTGGAAGGTGTCTGTCCTGCCCAGGACTGCCCCCCTGTCCCTGGACTGCTTTGGCTGATTGTTTTTTCCCAGGCAGCAGCTTTCAGGGTTTATTTCCATTGCAAGAGCCCAAGGGGGATGAGGAAACAGCACCTGTAAAGCACCATCCTCAGTGCTTGGGGCTTTTGTGCTTATAAAAAATAAGGCAGCTCCTTGCAGCCATAGTGCTTCTGGGAACTGATTTTGGGCTGGCCAAGGAACACCCATGGGAGATGTCCCGTAGCCCCAGGGGACCCAGCCCCAGAGGCCCAAGGCCCCTTTGGTGTGGGGCAGCCATAAGGTTTTCTCTCTTGCTGTGCCCAGGGGCCGGACCAGGTGTACGAGGGCATCACCTTCGAAGACTTCCTTAAGGTTGGTGGTGTCTCCACTCGTGTCCCCAGCAGGAGGGACCCGGCCATTAAGCCGAGCCCCCGCCTCAGCCCTGCTCAGCCCCTTCCCTTGCAGATGTGGCAGGGAATCGACATTGAGACCAAGATGCACGTCCGCTTCCTCAACATGGAGACCATCGCGCACTGCTACTGAGCTCCAGCTCCCTCCTGAGCCAGAGGAGGAGGAAGAGGAGGAAGAAGAGGACTCCGCAGCAGCTCCATGTTCCTGGTACCAAGCGCTTTGTGCCCACCCGCGTGCCTGTCCCCTAGCAGGGCTGCCTTCTGCTCTTTAGAAACATAAGAGGCTTTTATCTGTAATAAAAGGTATTTTTCTTTTTACTCCTTGCTGTGAAATGCTCCATCCATCTGTTGCCGGGGGGGGTAGGGGTGGTGGGGGAATGTCTCTCCCTGTGCGGGAAGCCACCACAAATCCCTGTCTCCCCTTAAACCGGAATCGTTGGCCTCTGCCATGTGCTGCTCTGGGGAAGGAGCTGCCCCCTTTGTGCTGGGAGCTCCCCAGGCCCCGTGCCATGGGGACCGTATGCAGGCAGGGATGGGGATACTGGGGCATGAAGAGAGCATCCTCAGCAATCACCCCCCCAGCTCTGCACCCCACAAGATCCCCAAGCCACTGAAGGTGGCAGTGGCACAAGGAATAACCCCAATTTTAACCAAAACCAACCACTTTGGCTTCATCTACCTGCCAGAGCCAGGCAAGAGAAGCCCAGGATTTGCAACCACCGGGGCTGGGATGCAGGCAGCAGGGATGTGGGGACATGGGGATGTGGGCTCCTGGCAGCCGGGTGGCTCCCGCCCCCACATGTTCCCGCTAGAACAAGGCACCGGAGATAAGGGCTTGTTTACCGGTATTAATAACTGGATGGCTCCAGGCGGATTTCTGTCTCTAAGGCAGCCTGAGCTGGGAAGTGAGGGGGAGAAAAAAAAAGGGCAATGACTATTTTTAGAAAAGCTGGAAAGATTTGTTTGTTTTATCAAAAAATAGCTTCCCCCGGTGACTTGTATACTTGATGGGAAAATAGCCCCTGCCACAGCGAGCACGAGCAGAGGCTGGGAGGTGGAGTGGGTGCCTGGGCCCGGAAAAATACCCCCTGCCACAGCGAGCACGAGCAGAGGCTGTGGGGAGCGATGGGTGCATGGCCCCAGCACCAGCCCCTGTGGGCAGCGAACGCCTGGCGTCCCTGTGGGCTTGAGGCACGAACATTTTCTCCTTCACTCCCCATCAGTGGGGGTTTCTGCACCGCTCAAGTGTCCCTGTCTTGCAGATTTCTGCAGCTTTGCCCCTCTGAAAAAACCCCATCTTGGCCACCGGCGCCAGGTGTGCAGCTGAGATGAGGCCCCTGCTCCGCATGCGCAGTCGCTGGACCACTGTCCCTGCATCCAAGCGTCTCAGAGCCATCAGCCAGCGAGCAGGCACCAGCCCAGCGAAGGACAGCCCTTCCCTGCAATGCAGCCCTGTCCTGGAGAGACCTGTGCTGCTCGGCCACACCGTGGACGCGCTGGGGCTCACCTGGCTTTGGAGGGAGCCACAGGGGTGGAGCAGATTCCGTCTCACAGCTCCGCGCATGGGGATGCCACCACCTCAAGGCTGGATGTGCCACAAAGCCACGAGGCGGTGCTGCCACAACCCATGACGTGGGTTGAGCCGCTGCAGTGCCCAACCTGGGCTGGCATTGAGGGCAGACAGTGCTGAGTGCTGGGGCTGGGGTGGAGGCGATGGAGCTGCCAGCTCTTCCAGTGCAGCCTTTCAGACCTTCCCAGTGCTGCTCAGTGGCAGCCACAGCCTTATGTGGGGCTCCTCAGTGCTGTTCTCTTGCTCCTGTGGACATCTCCATCAACTGGGCCAATCCCCAACTGCACTGCACAGGCACTGTCTGGTGCCTGACCTCCAGGCTGAGCCTGAGCCTCCTCCTGCCCCTGCCCTCCTCATCCTCCTCCCTGTGCTAAACGCTTGGTGCTCTCTTCCCTCCCCACACACAATATCCAGCTTCTTCCGCAAGCCCCAGGTTTCAGGAGCAGACATAGTCCCCATCTCCTCACAGGAATCCTCAGTGGAAGCTGCAGCCCCATCCTGCTCCAGCTGCCGGCCTCACCCTGCACCCGTTGTGTCCGAAAGGCCCTTTTCCACCCTGGAATCACCCAGGAGGGGCCATCCCTCCCCACCAGCAAAGCCCTTGCTGCTGCTGCAATGCCTTGGCATGTGATCCTGGTCCGGCTCTCCAGCCACGCCAGGGTTTTCTTGGAAGAGATATCAGCGCTTCCTGCACTGAGGATCAAGTCTTTTGGGCTGGGTACACCGTGCAATGCAGGGAAACAGAAGGCAGGAGGCCTGAAGAGTATTGATAAGCAGATAATTATTGTCTCTGGAAGGCATTAGCTGTCCCCCAGCTGCTTTCTTGGGTGGCGAGGAAAGCACGGGAGCAGGGGCTGTGGGTACAAAGCACGTTTGCCTTCGCTTGCGTTTGTCTTCTCTGTGGGAAATGGGATGAAGTTGAGAGGGGGAGGGAGGGTTACAGGGAGCAGATGAAGAGGAGAGTGGAATGGAGGGACCGGGAACAACAAACCCCATCCTCAGCCCAGTAAAGGGATGACGATAAGGCCAGGGGCCCCGGGGCTGTGTACAGCCCAGTCTGGTCCACCCAGGAGGGCAGGAGCATCACCTGCACCGTGCAATGCCAACATTACTCACTGCAAACCCAGCGAGACGGATGGTAATAATTCTGTCAAGGGCAGGAAGAAACAGCAGAGTACAGGGAAATCTGGCAAAGGAAACGTTTCTGTTGCAGAGCACAGCAAATCCTGCAAAGCCCGGAGTGTTCGATAAGGGATGAGAGCTCTGCTACGGGGCACAGCAAGAGCTGCTGAGCCCTGTGATGTGGCACATGGCTTCGCTGCAGGCCCCAGCGGTGTCACCAGAGGGTAATTGGAAAACTGAAGCAGCTTTACCCGTGTATTGGCAGACGGCGGGACGGCTGCTGGAGGCTGAGCAGCTCACCAGGGAGGGCAGTGACTTGTGCTGCTGCAGGAACAGGACACAGCAGGTGCCCCAGGCAGGGTTTTGTTGGCACAGAGGGAAGAGTTTGTCCCAGCTCCCCACCAGTGACGTTGTCTCCATCCATAGTGGAGCTGAGTAAAGGCACAAGAGACTGAAAGAGGAGACATCTGCCTGGGAAGGATGGAAGGTGCAGGAGGGCAGCACAAGAGCAGGCAGCGATGGAGCCAGGGCAGCCGGTTCAGTTGCAGCCCAATATTTCTAAGTTAAATTTTGAGGAGCTCCCCTTTCAAGTGGCATCATCCAGTTCAGAGGTGGCACAGTAACTCCCCTCACCAGTGAAGCCTGCAGCTGCCTCCCATGAGATGTATTTGGAGGCTGAAGGCCCACGTTTCGGGCCAGGAATCTGCCAAAGGCACAAATCCTGATCCGGAGCAGGCACTTTCCCTGCCAGTTTCTACTGCTTAACCCCTCAGTCCTGCATCTGCTTATGGAGGATGCCTCATCTTCGCCTTCAGCAGCAAGGACCAGCCTCAGAGGTACGAGAAACCGGCAGGGGCTAGGGGGATGCCAGCACGGGCCAAAATGTGGCTGAAGGTTTTAGGACCATCCACAGAACGGGGGAATGAAAGAAGGACAGAGATGGCATAAATAACTTTTTTGCACCTTGATACCACATGCTCCCCCCTCTCTGACAGCAAAATGACAGGGGGATCTTCTCCTCTACATGGGGACACGGAAGCAGAGGCTGAGAGCAGAGGAGGAGGGGTATGAGGGGAAGGTGCTGCTCTGCAGGGAAAGGCAGAGGATTCGGGGACCGCCCCCCCCAGCCCCTCTGCACAAAGAGCAGTGGCTGCTCCTCTTCATGGCACTTATCATCAGGAAAGGGACACAGCCCACAAAATGCTCGAATTGCTTTTCCACCACTGACAAGGTGGTCAAGGACACAAAACAGAGGCAAAAGGCACTTTCTTGGGGCCTTTGCTGGTGGCTTGAACCCAAAATACGTGGAGGGACAGCTGGGGTTTTTCCAGTACAGCAGCACAGCTGAGCATGTCCTACCACGTGCTTTGCTGTGCACTACCCAGCACCTTTCACTGAACTCAGAGCTCTGGAGCCTGGCAGCAGCTGGAGGCTGCGATAGAGACAACCTCCCCCCTTGATCATACAGTCTCTTTGGAGAATAGCAGGGAAGAAACTTAGGTCCAGGGATCCTTCACATGAAGACACTGGGCACCTCTTTTTTTGGTAAGGATCACTGTCATCTGCAGCTCAACTCAAACCCTTCCATCAGCCCTGGGGACCACCCAACACCGAGCAGATGCCCCGTTCTTGAGTGACAACCTTTGCCTGTGGGACACAACAGGGATCTGCTGATCTCTGAGCCCATCCTACCTACCCCAAATTAGTAGCACTAACCAGTCCTACAGAGTCCGCAGATGGAAAAATCCAAAGGTGGCATCTGTCTCTGGGTGGTGACTCTATTCTTGCTCTTGAAGTCGTAAGGGAAGAGGCTCCGTTTCAGTGTTAACCCTGGCGGAGATGTAAACAGTCACGACTGCATTTGCTGCACTCCAGCACCCACTTCAGCAGTGTTAATGACTTCCCAGCCAAGTAGGACAACATCCCTTTTGAGCAACAAAAATTAAACTCCCAACATGGATACTCTCCAGCAGCCTAAGTGCCCTCATTCGCATTATGAATGCAAGTTAAATACATACACAGTCTTCTGCTCTGGCCCAACCTTCCTAAATGAATTCCAGTGATAGACAAAATGGACCAAAAGGACGCCCCTCCAATCCACCTGGAGGAGCTGCATCCAGACCATGAGCCGACCAGACTGCAGGGACAATTTCTTACTCCACAGGAGGTGATGCAAGCCTTCTAGGATCTACAGGGGTTGGTGTTTGGTCCCCAGGGAATTGATGACTTTTAGGTCTTCTCTGCATAAGAAAGCAAACATCTTGACAAATGCAGGTCTGCAAACCACCCCTTTTGTAGCAGCTCAAGGACTGCCATGGTCAAGGAGCAACCCAGAGGCAGCCTTGCTGCAGGCTGTGCAGGAGAGGCGAAGCACTGGATGCGTGCAGGCACAAGCCAAACTTAACTGCTGCTTGCAGCAGGGAGATGAAGAAAGAGCAAAGCTGCCCTGAGACAGTAAGGCAAGACAGAGCCAAAGTGAGAACAAGGCAAGGGTACACTGAGTGAGACGGGGCAGCAGGTCACGGCACGGAGGGGAAGAGAACAGCAGATGCTCTCTCTGCTCAGCCACATCAGAAGACACAAGGCTGGAGCAACCCACAAAATCGTTAGTGCCACAGAAACTATGATTTATTTGAGAGGTTTCAGCTGAGCTCTTGTCTGAACTATGTATCTGTGACACTCCTTGCTCTTCCAGGAATGAAGGAGACCTGGCTTCCCAGAAAGGCAGAGAAAGGTGTAAAAGGAAAAAAAAACAACAAACAGACCAAAGCTTTCTATAAAGATAAAATTTATTGTTGGTCAGACAGAATGACTTCACCTCTTGTGTCAGTCCATCACAAGGAACAAGCTAAGTGTTAAACACCAAACACACATGACAGTTGTCCTAGGGGTCATGGAAAAGACCCACAGCCAAAGCCAAAGAGGAGCTATGAAATATGCATCTCTCCCAGCAGGAGGAGGGCAGCACGCAGCTCTCCACGGCTGCCTTAGGCCCTGGCTAACGCAGAAGTGACCAGCTCATCTCTCTCCTGCAGGTTCAGGCATATCTCCTGCACTGCTCCCCAGCACGCTACTTTTAAATTGATTCCATGAAGCCAGTAAAAGTGTGTAAAATCAAAACTGAACCTCAATTTAAACTTGATTTATGTGGCTTTGACTTGCACCAGTAAGTTTACAAGGGTAAATCACAACAATAAAGCAGTTTTAAAACAGTAAAACATATCCACACAGGACTCAAGCTCTTTTTCACCAAACAGGTTCTGCCTACATCAGTGCAACCTGGGTTGAAGACAAAGCCGTACTCCTCATCTTTACCATGGCTTTCAGCCTGGATGCTTCTCCACAGCATCAGTGTGAATGACCCATGCAGAGGGATGGGGCCAGTTCATCCCTTCTGCTTCACTAACCCAACGTGATCAACTCCCAGCTCAGAAGTGAGGACGGTGTCAGAAACCCAAGTCCTAAGCCCCTGAGGAAAGAACAGACCTGACAACTAACCTGAGGTGACAGCCGTTGGTTTCAGTTCACCCTAGAAGACTTGGGAATAAAAAACCCAAAAACACATACATACACAATTAGAAAACATTTAATCCAGAATTTTAGACTTAAAAAAATAATTTCTTTTAAAATAATTTTGGTGTGTGTGGCCTGCTGATTTTCCAAGCATCCAGCCTGGATGCTTCCCCTCCCTTTCTCCAGCATACCCCCCTCTCCCAGCCACCGTAACCTCTGGTGCACGGTCCTGTTCCCAGACACATTCCTATGCACTCCAAGGAAAAGAAGAACGAGCAGCTCATTACGAGGAAAGACATTTCAAACACGTGGCTCAGCAAGATACTTTTTCCAAGTCCTTGGTGTTTTTCCACCCCCCCCTTCTCGGGATCAGCATGAACTCCTCACTGTCCCCCCAGCTCCCAGTCTGCCACCAGGGCTCACGCTTCCCAACCCTGTCCTCTGCCAAGCTGGGATCAGCAGCGATTTTCTCACAAGCAGCAGAAAGGAACATTCTTGTTTACACTGATGTGTACTGCTTCCCCTCACTCTTCAGTCACTCTGTTCCACCACAGCGGACTTTTGAACATTTGTGCAGCAACATATTTTAGTTCTGTGTTCGAGGGCAGCCATACTCTGTTCTGGTTCATATCCCCAAGTTTTCGGCAAATGCTCAGCCTATTTGACACGCCTGCAGCCAACGCCACCTTTTTGGCATCCGTCCCACATGGAACTCCTTTTTGCCTTCAGCCATGCACTTGGCAGAGGGCTGGACCACAGAAGCCAAGCAAAGTGAGTTCCCTAAATGTTATCATAGGGAACTGCGAGGCCAATGTTGTAGTTGTAACCAGTCACTTCATCGTAGGAAGAGCGACAGATAGGAAGGATGCTTTCCACAGCCAGCTGGTCCACTGAGAACTCGTAGGCATAAATGGTTCCTCGATGCCTGCACAAAACACAACCAGGACAAGTCATGTACTTCAATAGAGGAAACGATGCCTGCACAAAACACAACCAGGACAAGTCATGTACCTCAACAGGGGAAACGAACAAAGCTAGAGATTGCCATAAAGGATCAAAATTCGATGCTTCAGAAGATGAATATAAAAGCCCCATCCCTTCTGCACTAGGGCTGTTTGTGCAGTTTTAACAGAGAAAACTTGCCCCAGCTCCTTTCAGGGACCCCGCAAGCCCTGGCAATGAATGGAGAATCATTCACCTGAGCACTGCAGAGACACGACTGTCTGCTGGAATATGTCTAATCTATTAAGGAAGGGGGAAGATAAGTACCTTGTAGTTTGAGAGTTCAATTAGACTTGCTAACAGTTTAAATGTTTAAATGCCAGTAGTTTTCCTTTGAGAGGAGGTATCATTACTAATATTTAGAGCAAGGAAAGGACTACATTCCCAGTTTGGCTTCAGTGGCCTTTACACTCCTCTGCTGAAAAAGAAATTACTTTTTTTTGGTGCTTAGAAGTAAATAAGGAGCCAATTCATCAACAGCTTTGAAAGCCCTATCTTTAAACTTTTTTATTTTACTGTTTAGGATGCCATAACTTCTCTATTATTGCTCTGGATCATGACTCAGGTGCTTAGTGTGCCATTTTTAAGAACATAAAGTAGATCTTCGCGGTGCCAAAAATCCCACGGTCCAGAGCTGGCTTACTCACTTGCAGTGCACGGTAAGGTCATCGTCCATGATGCTGGCGCCTCGGGGAGTTTTCTCATCAGGGACGTTTGCAGTGATGAGGCTATGAGAATTAAACCACACGTGGCGGACTGGATGTCTGCAAAATAACCCACAGCACCGGGTGAGATGCCACCTGCATTAGACTCCTGACATCCACGTGCAGTAAAGGAATGGCTCTGGATTAAACAAGAATTCATCTAAATCAGCGCTCTCTCTATGGCCAGGGGCTGGGAACCTGCACCTTTGGCTCTTCTCCTCCACTCTGGAGCAGATAAACACAGCTTTTATCCCCATCTAGTGGGCTCTTACCAGAACACACGTGGAGGCCAGAAAATATTTTAAGACACTTGACAGCACGCAGGCTGCAAGGGATCTGCGCTGCCTGCTTTGCTGCTTTAAGGACTGCAGCAGCACTTTCCTGGGAAGAGCAGGATGCTTCCCGAAATGAAGGACAGGGACACCCAAGACTCCCACACCCCCAAGCACTGAGCTACAGCTGATTTTGAAAGACACTCTATGGCACAGGCTAAGAGGTCTGGTCTTTGCTCCTTTTCCTCCCACTGGTGAATGAACTAACCCTGAACCATCGTAACTGCACTGACTGTTCAAGTAGCAGTAACTTCTCAGATTAAAATGGCTCATCTCTGTGACCTTAACGTGTCTCCTGTCATCTCCCTTAGCTTCTGTGCTTGCTTTCCATTCCTGGCACTAGGCTGCAGGCATGGATAACACCTCACACACCTTCTTATCTATGAAGGCCTTTTTGACTGAAGTGATCCCTTCTGATTCCTATACAGACTAGATAGTATTTTAAATGTTTAATCTAATGGTTTCACTTTTAGTACGCCCCCAAAGCTCAGATCAGCACTGTCTGCCCTCCTCCTTGGCATGCTCATTAGTGCTGCTCCAGGAGATAATCAATGCAGTATTGTCCTTAATGCATCATCTGCATTGCCACAGGCTTTATAATTCACAGGGTTAACAGAGAAGGAGATACCTGCTATTAATCAATGACAACTCCAACTTGAACTTCTCTGACTGTAAATACCTCATCTAGCTCCTCTCTGGGGAAGATGCATTAAAAAAATAAATAAATCAGGATTTATCTGTTAATTTTATTAAGGGTATCACTCAGACTTAGAAGGGGCTAAATCCTTGAGGTCTTCGTTCAAACAAAGCTAACTCCCTGGGAATTGTGCCTTGATCAGGAAATCAACATCTGGCTGTTAGCAAGTAACAGGCTCCTCTCAACTCCAGGATACTGATCTCTGCTCGTACTTTCAGTACCGTACTTCTTGTGCTTTCAGTACAAACTGGTATTTTAATATCTAAATGGGTGTATATACCAGCCTGGCTTTGATCGTTACCACTAAGGGAATGCATGAATGAGATGAACAGAAACACAGGTATTGTGTAAGGATATAGTGGACAACCAGTGCAGCCAGGAATGCAGCGTTTTAAATCCAAGGTTTAATAAAGTAAACACTGGTTGGGAATGGGGCAGGGAGAAGACAGCACTGAGACTTCACTGAAAATCCAGGGAAAACAATTTCCATTTTCCCTTACGCCAACTGAAGCACTCTTCTTAACTAATGAGTAAAAAGCCTACAGCAGCTAAAGGGCACACACAGAAACACACACAAGACTCCAGGTGGGGAGGTAATCTGTTCCCACACCACAGGAATACTTAACAGAACTCTCAGCAGCTTCAGACACGGACACGTTATCATTTTGGTCCTGGATCGTCCCATTCCTACGTTCCTCCTGTCAGTCAGCTCCGATAAACACCTTTGCAACAGGACCCCATGCAGCCAAAATCACCTGGCATGCATTTCCCAGAGTTTGGTGCCCATCCGCTGGTCCCACACGCAGACCAAGCCCTCTTCTCCTCCACTGACGATCTTCCAGTCATCCATCTGGACTGCAGACACTCCTAACTGGTGGGCATAGAGGGAGCACAAAGATTCACTCTTGCGGAGATCAAACACCCTGACCCTAAAAGAAAGCAAATAAAAAAGCAGAGATAAAACCTGAGAACAAGTACTTTTGGAGTTATGAAAATACGTCTAGGACAGCAGTAGTGCCATGACCACTACAGGGCCAGAAATCCAATACAGCTGCCACTATTCACCACTGAATTTTCACTCTGACTTCTATCATCCAAGATTTCTTGAGGCAGGCTTCTCCCACCATACCAGTACCATGGTTTGGGCATACTGCTAACACATCCTACCTCGTGGTATCTAACCCATGTCCACTATGGCTGAGGACCATATTATTATGAGGATCAAGGAAAGGACTATTATTACAAAGATTCAGGAAGAGACCGCGTGGCAATTCAAAAGACAAGCCAAGGGAATTACAGGTTTATATGCTCAAGTTAATCACCAATACTGAAACAAAGCTATCCACAAGCACCCAGCAATCAGGATCTCTTCTGATTTCAAAAACACAACTACTGACTGCAGGCAGCTTTTAGGTACATCTGGTTTTCAGAAATTATTGGTCACTCAGACAAGGCATTTGAAGAGAAACTTCAAAGACTCTGCTAGAAGTAGAACTGTAGAAAAAGAGCTTAGGATTTCAACCATCGCAACAAGTCCACAAAAGCAGCTAAAGCTAATGGTGTTAAGTTCTAAATCCAGCACATATCACAGCAGAGTATGGTTTTGATCCTTATATATTAAGAAATAAAGTACATTAGCAAATAAAAAAAAATGCAGCAAGGAAAAAACAAAAGTTAAGGGGAAAAACGGATCTCAGATTTGAAAAGAAGCCAGACAAAGTTCCTCCCCACTGATGGCTATCACGATTGAAACCATCAGGTACGCATTAATTCCAGAGAAGGCCAAAACACACTTGTTCCACCACATTAACTGTACTTTATTCCATCCCTGCTACAATCCTAATGGTGTTGCAAGTCTTCCCTTTCCCTTTCTCAAATGGAGATTGCATCATATGATTTTACAAATAACACATTTCAGCAACCAAAAGAGAAGGCAATGGAACAGTCCAAAACTCCAACAGAGCTACATCCGTCCGACACGCAGACAACCACGCTGGAACGGAGCGAGGAACGCGCTGTGTGCGGCTCCACAGTTACCCTTAGGAAAACCTCAGCACGACAGTGTCTGATGGTGAAAAGGTGTCCTCACTTTCTCCAGCTTCAGAGAGAAGCTTTGGCTACACATGAGACCTATGCTTTGGGTAAGGATGGAGTACTTTAAAAGTGTTCACACCCAGTGCTCCCCTGTCTTACTGCGTGTGTTCTGCATGGCAATCAAAGCTGCTTCTGTTTGGTAAGCACAGTCGGAATCAAAGATCTGATCGTGTCCTGGTTATTTCATTAGCAATGGCCCAGGTTTCAGGCAGGTGTCCATTCTGGCACACCCCTGGAAGAGTTAGAGGCCCACTTGAGTTGTTTAGATGTGCTTAAAAAAAAAGGAAAAAAGAAAAAAGAAAAAAAAAAAGAAAGGGAAAAGCATTTTGCAAATCCCATGTGATGCTCTAATGCAGACCTGGCATGGCCATGGCCCTCCATCTCCTGCCTCAACAGCTGGGCTTGGTGGGAGCACATCAGATTTGCCTGAGTTCAAGGGAGCTGAAAGGAACATGTTCTCGTGAGCAGGCTTTGACTCTCCTGTTAGACGTAAGCTCACTCGTCTTCAGGAGAGCACGGAATACATGTTTTGATCCACACTTTTCAGCGATGGTAGACTCTGGGCGTGCCATGTTTGCTTTCCCAACGCTATTCACCATCATGGGTTTCACCAAGAAAGAGGCTGCTGTTCTGCAGTGCATCAGCACACACTCTGTTATCAGATCTCCTGCCAGTGTGAAGCACAGCAAAGTAATCAAACCCATCAGCAATGCTTCAGGCGTATTTTTTGGCGGAAGGAGATTTTTATAGACCCTACCAAAAACGTTTCACTTCAAGAAGGCGGTTTGTGTTACTGTTGAAGAATCACAGCTTTGAATAAAAGAACAGCATATACTCGTAAAATTGCACAATCGCTACACTTCATTCCAGTGACATCTCCCCACTGGCCATCAGCACTTTGAGCTCCCATGGCAAATCCCTATTTAATGCAGCTGCTCCATAACAGTGCTATGGAGGTTCAAGCCACATCCCACCTGTGGATGCCCGGCATCTATTAATACCCTTCACACAGCACTCCATGAGGAAATGATCACTGAGATACACTTGGTCTTGCCTCCTGGATGACAAACTTATTTACTGCACAAACAGTTCCTGACTTCTCGCTATTTTAGTGATGGCCAAGCTCTGAACTCAGTCAATGCTTGAACTAAAAAATCGAAAAGCTTTTTGGAGTGGAAAGGGCATATTCAGTATGAAGGGAATACATTTCAATCTCACTTAAGGGTTATCAACTTTACCTACTCTCCATTGTTGGGCAAGAGATCAACAGTGGACGTAGTTTTAGTGGGGTGTTTTGGAAAAATCAATTATCTGCTTTTAGAGGAAAAAAATTCCCAAGTACACAATTACACATGTCAAACTTCAGACATTTTCTTTATCTTCTTTGCTGAGAAAGTGTGAGGTTTGCTTGCACTACCTATTCACTGAGAAGGAAAAAAAGCTGTTTGACAAAGTACTCACTTCTGCAAGCTGCTGCACTGGTGGGACAGAGGTCTGGGATTTGGCAGAGGGAAGTACCCGCCTTACAATCTGATACCCACCAGCACACCAGACCACCACCTGCAGCCTGGTGCCCAGTGCAGAAAGGAGGAGGGAAGGAACTGGGAGCCATTAGAGACTGGCTCCTCGCCATCCCACATCTCCTTTGGTGCACTGGATCAGACCCCACAAGCAACTAGCTAAAAAAATAAAATCTAAAAATTGGACTCAAAGGGTCTTTTTAAGCACTTTAATCCTTTAGCACTGACTGTTCCCAGCGCGTCCACTCCTGGCACCAGATATTGTGCTGGGAAAATCCTACTCCCCAAGCCAAGGAGTTAAAGAGAAAGCTGCTAATCAGCTAAATAGAAGCTGGAATCTGTTCATATGAAAGTCTCTTTTTTTTGTCACCTGAGGGACATCACAGTGTTCCGAAATACACTCTTGACATCATTTGGCAGACGGACCCATCTCATCCTACATGATTCATCCCTTAGGTTATTTTTTTAATATCAGAAAGTGAGCTTTTAAATGCCAAACTAATTTTGTGGGTGGTGGTGGGGAAGTGGAAGATATTCCAAGTGGTCTCGCTGGGCTGTACACCAACTGCGTCCACCAAATGGCTTAAAAAGAAAGTCTTCCCATGGAGCTTTCCGAAACAAAGCAAACTGGCAGCCACATCCAACTATTACCTAATATTTTGTTCCTGAAGTCCACGCAGGCTGCCTTTGAAACATTAGAGGAGAAACAAATTGTAGCAGGTCCAGATGTCGGACAGCAGGACAGGAAGTAAGCTAATTTGAGATGGCTTACAGCTCTTGGTAGTACCTACCTTCTGTCCTTATTGCCTGTAACAAGCATGTTTGGAGGACTGCTCTGGAGGTTGACACACGTAAAGTCACCTATCGAGTTGCCCATCTTCTGCAGACACTGACTTGTTTCCAGATTGTAAAGAAGAACCTGGCAGAAAGAGAACAAACACCGGCTAAACGTAGCATCAGTACAACTACTACATTTTGCTGCAGTATACAGCAGAGCAGACCTATTACCATCAGAGATGGTCTGCAGGACTCGTTTCTGGTTATGTATTAGCATATGGAAACTATAGATCTATCCCTATTAAGAAGGGCAACAACACCCTCAGAAATAAAGAAATCAAGTTTCACAGTGGAATCCATCAAGAAGCAGGATGCAAGGCTCTTGCCGATCAGTATTAGATAGGTATAGCTCGCAGGCAGGCAAAGCAAGCCATACAGATTTTCTCCAGGTCAAGTTTTTAAGGCTTATATGGAAAAGCAAACAGTTTCTTCATCAATTTTAATATTTGCCAGAGTAGTAAAAGTAAACAGAATCAACATTCAGCAGGTTTAGACAGATGGGCTGTACAAGAAAGATCCAATCAAACCGCAAAAGTGGAAGAGCAGCACCGAACACTGACTCGGTGCTGACAGGCCCGGCTGATCGCGTTTGTACAGGAGAAATATCACATCTGAAGTGGCAGATGAGATGGGAAAGGAATAAAAACAACATCCAAGATGATTCAACCAGAGATCGGAA